AAAAAAAAAAAAAAAAAAAAAAAAAAAAACGCTGGACACCAGTGTTTTGTACTGAACTCAGTACAAACTTGCAAGGGGAAGAGTAACCTGGAAGCAGATTGGACTGAAAAAAAGGCTGGCTGGAGGCAGGAAGTGTAGGTGGGAAGCTTCATGGGAGGCATCTGTGAAGAAATAAGATAGACAGTGAGTGCTGCAGCAGCCATGGGAAGGAAAGAAGAGATGCAACAGCAGATGTCCTCAACTCGCCATTCGGCATGATGCTTGTGTGTCTCTCCCCTCACATTTTCTTGTGCCTAGTTAGGCCTTTTGACTCTTTGCAGCTAGGTCTACTTTCCTGACTTCTCTTGCACCAGAACATGAAATCTTGCATCACAGGCATGCAACATCCAGCCCAATAGACACAAGCAGAAGTCAATAATTCATTCACATCTACTGATGGAGGGGGCAGCAGGGCACCTGCTTCTGCTCCTCATTCACCAGCACCTCCCAGCTTCTCATGCACTTCATCATTGTTGCTGTCCACATCCGGTCTCTGGTCACTGAGCTCACTCTGCACCAGGGCAGACCCTCGAGGACAACTCCTTCTTAAACTGCAGGACGGGACTCATGCAATTCTCACTGCACAGAATCCTGTTAGTGGAGCCCACACTCATAGACAGGTAAAGTGATCCAGACTCACATGTGTAAGAAACTGAAAGAGTAAATAAGACCCAAAAGGTACAATACACATCAAGGAAGGGACAGAGACTGCTCGATAGGAAAGATGAACTGGTGTAGAGAAAGGAGAAAAGAAGGAAGATACACATAGAGGAAAGAAATTCTATACATAACTTCTATTATTTCCTTGAAGGGAACAGTTAGTGTTTCTATTGTTTGATCAACCTCACATGCTTATGTCAGGTAATCTGACCAACTACTTAGAAGATAACAATGTGTGATATTAATAACCATTGCTAATTTCCTAATAGCAATTATTAGTTTAATTCTCTCCACAACTATCCTGTGGAGACATAGTATTTTTCCTTTCCCTTCCTTCTTTCCTTCCCACCATCCCATTTGGTCTTTCTGTATGAGCAGTCTCCTCCCCTTCACAATATCTAGTGTACATTTTCATTCTTATTTATTCTTTCAATGT